ATAATCAAACAGACGCGTTTGCTCAACGGGAGAGAGCGTTCAACAACAATTCATCCCAGGTACATATCGCAGACTGTCCGACATTGAATGGGGTGTAGTAGGTCAAGATGAAAAACAAAATCTCATTTAGGCATTTGAGACTCGACATGGTCATCAGACTCGAGTATTTAAAAACGCAGAGTAGCCGTGCCATGAGACCGCAAAACACCGAAAAGTCTGAACACTCGGCACGACTATGGTAGACGTTCAGAGAAGGTATCTCTGCTGGTAAGGAAGAAAAATGCTACTCTCAAAACAACCCGATGAACTGAGCGGACGAGGGTGTCAGAAATGGACGAAAACAAGAAATCTGAAATGGAAGTCGGTGTGGCTCATAGCCCAGAAAGCATTTTAACATGTTTATCTACTACCACCTCCTGGATTTGCCTTAGTCTATTTAAAGCAGACGAGAACTGGTGCTTTCTACATGGTATATGCCCCCCCCCTAAAGATGTGTGATGCAGCTAGATAAAATAGGCTTTGTTGTTCGCTGCTGGCCGTGGGGGATTCCAAACTGCCGGAGGCTTGACTTAAAGCCGTTGTATGCTCGCTCCTACCCCAGTAGAGCTTGGCTCCTGCAATCCATCTCCCTGGCCGCCTGCGTTTACAGAAGCCATGTTTGTCGGTAACCTTTTCCAAATTGTTTGCGCGCTGAGCATCTGGCATGCATCAAACGCGGGAAATAATGGGTTAGTGTGCGTGCAGGCCTCGTTAATTTCTACAGAGCGGTCTTGTCAACTGTTGTTATTGTTAACTACTGTGCCCATTTCCCTTTGATCGACTCATCTTTTTTCTGCTTCGTTTGTCTGAACTGTTATTATGACGTCATTGGTGCAGTATGCTAGCACCTTTTTGAGCTAATTTAAACTGCCAACTTCACTGACGACAGTTCATGACGCCAGCTTTTGCACTTTCCGTCTAATATGTTGTAGTTGTTATCTCTGCGTGTTAACTTTATAACGCTTTCACCAACAAAAGCCGCTTTGGTTGGCAAAAAAGGAAATTGTCAAGTCAAGCTCTCCTACTAGCAAATTGTCGTTTTACGGAGTCCTCCCGTCCTATGCACCGAGGCTTCCGACACATGTTTTGCCGTACATCAGCATAGTAACCTTCTACATTGGCATTTATAGCACG